CAGCAGCAGCAGCATCTCAACGTAAGATTGATACATATCATATATTCTCTCCAAAGACCTGACAAGAATGATAGGTATTATAATCTAATAATATGATGATGATCATTATTATTATTATTATCAGATATTCAGTCGGTACTGTTAAAGATAGTAGTGATCCATGGGTTGTTATATCAGAGGATGATGCCAGGTATTATTATTATCATCACCACCATGCTATTATTAATATCATCATCATAATCCTTGTATATAGGTTCACTAACTTCTTCCTATACGATAAGATTATTGTATATATAACAGCGTACAATGCAGCTGGACATTCGGAACCTCTCACTATTGAGGTTCCACTCTCAATTAATGGTATTAAATTCCCCTATACAACAACATCAACAACAACAAAGAAAAGTCCGCATGTAAATGGAGGAGGAGAAGGAGGGAGCAGAAATCCTGCTGCTCCTGCTGATAGTAATGTGAAGCCTTATATGACATATCTTAATGAGATCGTATCATCATTATACTTATCCCGTAATGATATAACATCATTAAGAATAAGGTTAGGAAGACTGAGAGTTGATGATCTGAAGGCTATTATCAGGTAGTAGTATTATATTTATGAGCATATGTTTATGATCCTACTACTACTACTACTACTACTACTAATACAGGTATAACTTAAAGGAAGTTCCTCGTGGTAATAAGCCTGTATTGATTGAGACTATTACTGATGCTATTATTCATAATCGAGTTAACTATTAATATGCATGTTGTCTACCTTCAATTTCAATTATCAGGGCTTTTGTGTTTATTTACCCAGTAAGCAGCAGTACATTACATTCAAAGGCGTTATTATCATAGGAGTTATTATCATGGTGGACGTTAATCATAGTGAAGTTATTCGATAATACTACCATACTGGTAGTAATATTACCATGGTGACATTCACTCAACCACTGATGAATAGCTCAATCTGTGCGGGAAACTATGAGATGAACATTATCATCATCCACGTATGAGATGAACCACTATGAAAGAGGACTCGGGATAAAGTGAAATCTATGATGTCACCGGGGTGCTGATCCATTGAATTCCACTAGAAACATTGTACCTGTTCTTAGCCGCCCATTACCATTCCCTGAATTCATTCCTAACACTTCACCTCTTCATCAGTCTAACCTTCATCAGCTGTCTCATATACTTAATCAGTTGTTGGGCGAGCTCTCTGGTGGTGAGATACCCTTTTTGCACTCATGATGATGATGATGTGAACTTCACTTGCAGACTTAACGGAGCGAGGATACATTGCAAGGCACCGCTGTTATCTAATTAGTTGCATAACGTGCAAGTCGCGTTGTAGAATGACAATACCAGGGACACTACTCGGGGCTAATTGAGGGACATTAACGGATTGAGCGTTACTTGATTAAGGAAGTGTATCGCTATTAACGACAATCCTAATAATATTGGTACATCGTGAGGCGTACATCACGCTAGTGTCCAAGCTGGGGTCCAAGCTGGGGTCGCTAGGTAGGTCCCGGCTGGGGTCCAAGCTGGGGTCGCTAGGTAGGTCCCGGCTGGGGTCCAAGCTGGGGTCGCTAGGTAGGTCCCGGCTGGGGTCCAAGCTGGGGTCGCTAGGTAGGTCCCGGCTGGGGTCCAAGCTGGGGTCGCCAGGTAGGTCCCGGCTGGGGTCCAAGCTGGGGTCGCTAGGTAGGTCCCGGCTGGGGTCCAAGCTGGGGTCGCTAGGTAGGTCCCGGCTGGGGTCCAAGCTGGGGTCGCTAGGTAGGTCCCGGCTGGGGTCCAAGCTGGGGTCGCTAGGTAGGTCCCGGCTGGGGTCCAAGCTGGGGTCGCTAGGTAGGTCCCGGCTGGGGTCCAAGCTGGGGTCGCTAGGTAGGTCCCGGCTGGGGTCCAAGCTGGGGTCGCTAGGTAGGTCCCGGTTCCACTCACCGATACTTTTATTACAAGCGAAAGCGAGATTCAAAATTGCAGACCCAGGCGACTACGGATTCTGTGATGATTAAGCTTCGTGGAACTTATCTTTCTTGACAAATCTGTTTATATGAATAAGGTAACATAGCGTGCATTCGCAACCACTTGTTGTTAGCCAATATCCAATCTCATCTTTACTAGCCATCATCTAAGGGGGGGTCTCATCATACTATTCAAGCGGACTAAGTATTTTCGAATTACTTTACTTGTTTGATGATGAATATTATCAGATTAGTACGCGGCCGCCGCGAAGCGAAGCATGGCGATCGTATCCTACATGCATTTAGGCATAATTTGGTTACATGCAAATTACCTGCATCAAAGTTTTGTTAATTGTATTGATGATCATTACTTACCGCTGTACTAGTCGTGTTAGTTGGCCTATTTTTCTACCCTCCTCCACCTCCTCACCCTTCTCGTCCTACCCTTCTCGTTCTCAAGCATATCGAGCATCAAGATGAACAGGTGAGCGTCTTACTACTACCTCAATATGATAGTATCATCATACCTGTATTATTAGCTAAGGGGGAGATGATGGAGCATTATTATTATTTCAGTTTGATGATGATGATGATGAAGACACCTTCTATTGGTATCTCTACTAGTCGCGCTGCTGGCAGCATTAACAGCTCTGTTGCTAGCCGCCTATTCAATGGGTCATATTCTTATGCTCATGCTGCGGTCTTTAATCGCTTCTCAAACTTGGTAACGTCGAAGAACAGCAACGTGGCATCCTTCAGTACTTCAGCAGGAGCATCATCTCCCAAGTATAGGAGTAAGTCGATCCTCATCTTACATCGGTATCAGGCTGTCAAACTCTTTCAGCCACTAATCTTCTGTCGAGTGTCTCACGATGCAACATGTCGTCATCTGCCATGACCTCCCCTCGTTTACCCTCGAATCACCTGATCAACGGTATTAACTCTCAACAAGTTAGATGTGCAGGTGAGGATTATCTCTCATACAGAAGGCATCTTAATGATCTGTAGTTGAATGATGATAACTATCTATTATTTTCCTTATTATTATTAGGTACTTCGGTTCTCGGTGCAGCTATTGCTGTTGTTGCTGTTGGTGGTTGTGCTCAAGGCATTGGTCAGTTGTTCGCTGCTTTGGTTGTTGGTATTGCGAGGAATCCTAGTATGAAGGAGGATCTCTTCACTTATACCCTTATTGGTATGGGTTTTCTAGAGTTCTTGGTAAGTATATCATTCTCTGTCCTCACACTGTGTTATCTTTCTTAGGCCATCTTGGTTATCCTTATCGCGGGCGTGTTGCTCTATTCCGAGTAATGTGATGATGATGATGATGATGGTTATGCTACTGTATTATGGTCAATGGAGGAGATTATTATTATTATTATGATGAGTGCCATAATTGATATGCCAATTTTATTGTGATTGTTGTATGTGGTGGTTTAAAGCCTATTAATCATAACTCTCACAGTATTGGTGTCATCAGCATATGACCTATTATTCGTCATCGTAGTATGGTAATTTCTCACACATAATTGTCGTAATAACAAACGGTAGCACGTAGTGTTTTTGAGATACTTATGTAGGCGTCTGATGTTCTCCTTGGAGAATGGCTTCGCGTCATTATCATAAACTGTTGTTGGATTGGTGGGTCGACGACTATTATCAAGTGAGATATACAGCAATTATTGATAGTAAAGCAGTAATGATAGTGGTAGTAATGGTATTGACAGTTGCTATTGGTATCAACTGAGGTTGTTATTGTAATGTTGTGTTAAGTTAGTGTTGACAGTCTCCGACGGGACTAGTATAATCTTGATACATTCGCATCGAGCTCTGAGCTCTAGTGAGCAGCAGCACTCGAATGTAAATATTGAATTTCTATTAGGAGATATACATATTGTGGGACGTATTGAGAAACGTACGCAGTAGTCAGTTCTCACTCGCAGTCTATTACTCGTAGTCGTCTATTACTCGTAGTCGTCTATTACTCGTAGTTGTCTATTACTCGTAGTTGTCTATTACTCGTAGTTGTCTATTACTCGTAGTCGTCTATTACTCGTAGTTGTCTATCACTCGTAGTCGTCTATTACTCGTAGTTGTCTATTACTCGTAGTCGTCTATTACTCGTAGTCGTCTATTACTCGTAGTTGTCTATTACTCGTAGTCGTCTATTACTCGTAGTCGTCTATTACTCGTAGTTGTCTATCACTCGTAGTCGTCTATTACTCGTAGTAGTCTATTACTCGTAGTCGTCTATTACTCGTAGTCGTCTATTACTCGATTAGTTGTGGTTGGGTACTGCTGCTGAGGTAGACTTGACATCTTGTAATCTTGAATTAATGTAATCTAGCTTGATGTAATATTAATCGATCACTCGATCGATTATATTGTAGGTTTGGGGCGTCCGCGGCGCCGCGGGGGGGAGGCGGGATACCTTCGGACCACCATCATGAGGTATAACTATTATCATATTAGCCGTTGTTTCTTATTATCAACAAGAAGCCAATCAACAACAACAACATGGCTGATCCCGTTGCTGCTGCTGTCTATGATCCTACTACTCAGAAGAGGAAGATATCCAGAAGATGTTGGTCTGCAGTGTAATAATAAAATCGTAGTTAATCATCATCATCATCATTCTCTCATTGCTATTAGACCCATCTTGGTACTCGTAACTTGGATTATCGTATGAAGCGTTACGTGTTCAAGCGTAATA